TTCTTAAAGTGTGGTGCCTAAAACTGAACGCAGTACTCTAGGTGAGGTCTAACCAGAGCAGAGTAAAGCGATACTATCACTTTGAGTGATCTGGACACTATACTTCTGTGGATACAACCCAAAATGGCCTTTGCCTTTTTAGCAACTGCATCATACTGCTGACTCATGTTCAGCGTATGGTCTACTAAGACCCCTAGAGACCAACCAGAGTTTCAGGGTGTTGTGTACTAAGGATGAGTCAACCTCAACTAGCCCTGGGGTCAGGTTGAGCCTGCATCCACAGACAATAGCTGGCTAGGATCCTAGAATGGACCAATAGAGAAACAATGTAATGTAAATAGCCTATCGTTGGGAGTGGGGTGTGGTGCATTGTTAAATAAAAATACTAATCAGAACTACAGGCTTGTATCTCTACTTATTTCATAAAGATACGCACAAATACAGGCTTCAAAGATTCATCCAATTAAGGGTGGGTGGTCAGTTCTAGCTTTCCAAAATAGCAATAATTGCCAAAACTTTTCTTTTCAAAAAGGTTAAGTCATAACATGGTTGGAATATATGGAGTCCACCTGCTGAATGAATTAATGTGACTGTACCAACAGTTTATAGTAAAGGTTTCCCTTGCTTGAAAGCCAGTCGAATCCGACTCTAGGGTTGTGGTGCTCATCTCCGTTTCAAAGCCGAAGAGCCAGCGCTGTCCGAAGACGTTTCCGTGGTCATGTGGCCGGCATGACTAAACACCAAGGCGCACGGGACACTGTTACCTTCCCACTGAAGTGGTCCCTATTTATCTACTTGCAATTTCTTGCTTTCGAACTGCTAGGTTGGACCCCCCCCAGCACCAAGAAGACAGAGCATCACTTGCCCCAGAGCCCCTATCTATACCTTGTGGCTAATAGCCACTAATGGACCTCTGCTCCTTATGCTTATCTAATTCCCTTTTGAAGCCGTCCATGCTTGTAGCTGCCACCACTTCCTGTGGCAGTGAATTCTATGTGTTAATCACTCTTTGGGTGAAGAAGTTATGATATCACCTCTGAGTCGTCTCCTCTCCAGGCTAAACATGCCCAGCTCCTTCAACCTTTCCTCATCGGACTTGGTCTCCTCACCGGACTTGGTCTCCTCACCATCTTTGTTGCTCTCCAGCTTGTCTATATCCTTCTTAAAGTTGCTCTCCAGCTTGTCTATATCCTTCTTAAAGTGTGGTGCCTAAAACTGAACGCAATACTCTAGGTGAGGTCTAACCAGAGCAGAGTAAAGCGATACCATCACTTTGAGTGATCTGGACACTATACTTCTGTGGATACAGCCCAAAATGGCATTTGCCTTTTTAGCAACGGCATCATACTGCTGACCAACCAGAGTTTCAGGGTGTTGTGTACTAAGGATGAGTCAACCTCAACTAGCCCTGGGGGCAAGTTGAGCCTGCATCCACAAACAATAGCTGGCTAGGATCCTAGAATGGACCAATAGAGAAACAATGAAATGTAAATAGCCTATCGTTGGGAGTTGGGTGTGTTTGGGGTGTGGTGCATTGTTAAATAAAAATACTAATTAAAACTACAGGCTTGTATCTCAACTTATTTCATAAAAATTCGCACAAATACAGGCTTCAAAGATTCATCCAATGAAGGGTGGGCGGTCAGTTCTAGGTTTCCAAAACAGCAATAATTGCCAAAACTTTTCTTTTCAAAAAGGTTAAGTCATAACAAGGACATTTGATGGTTGGAATATATGGAGTCCACCTGTTGAATGAATGAATGTGACTGTACTAACAGTTTATAGTAAAGGTTTTCCTTGCTCGAAAGCAAGTCGAGTCTGACTTTAGGGCTGCGGTGCTCATCTCCGTTTCAAAGCCGAAGACGTTTCCGTGGTCATGTGGCCGGCATGACTAAACACCAAGGCGCACGGAACGCTGTTACCTTCCCACCGAAGTGGTCCCTATTTATCTACTTGCAATTTCTTGCTTTCGAACTGCTAGGTTGGCAGGAGCTGGAACTAGAGACGGGAGCTCACTCCGTCATGCGGCACACTCAGGTCTCGAACTGCTGAACTACTGCTGAACTACTGAACTACTGACCTTCCACAGCCTGCAGCTCACTTGAGCCACCGCAGCTCCAACAGTTTATAACGGACGCTAAAAATTGTTGAATTGTTGGTATATAGAAATTGAGATATTCATTGCATTACATAAATGTAATTGCTCATATAATTTGTGATTTTCATCATTTTTCACGGTGTGTATACTTTGTTTGACAATCTCTATACTTTTATAACCACCTCGGTCCTGGAGATTGGCAATCCTAGTAGCCAGAATGGGTCTGACAGGGGGAGCTTGGACTCTTGAAAGGTTATGCCCTGAAAAACTCTTGCTGGTCTCTAAAGTGCTGCTGGACTTGAATCTAGTTTAGGGTTGCCAAGTCCCCCCTGGCCACTGACAGAGGTTGGGGATAGGGTTGCGAGCTCCAGGCTGGGAAACTCCTGGAGATCTTGGGATGGAGCATGGGGGACCAGGGACCTCAGTTGGGGGTACACTAACACAAAGTCCACCCCCCAAAGCATCCATTTTCTCCAGGGGAATTATTTGATCTCTGTAGCCTGGAGATGACCTGTAGTTCCAGAAGATCCCCAGGTCCTACCTGGAGGCTGGCATCCCTAATTTCTGCAGACCAACACGGCTAGCCTCTGAAACTATCTTCATGAAGAGAACAGGGGACTGATGGGAAATAAACTTTTCCTATCATAATCTCCAAGTCTTAGTGCCTTCTCGTGCTAAGAACTACAACTCCCATAAGCCCCTGTGAGCCCAAAAGAGCCCCCCCCCCGATTTTCCTGACCGAGAGAATTAAGGTGAGGGTGTGTGTTTTCCTAGAGAGGTCAGGGGGAGCTCAGACACGTGGGTTGAAAGCCGCGGGTCTTTCTACCCACCTTTTTTTGGAAGACCTGATAGAGTTAAACAGAGACTGTAGTTTTCTCCTCATTGTAGGCAGAATTTGGCTTTTGTTTGTCTGCGAGAATGGTGAGTTAAGATTTTCTAAAGAGATCTTGGGCAAGAATGGATGGAGGAGGAGAGAGAGCGGATCAGGAAGGGAGGGGGGGGAAGCGGACTGGGAAAGCAGAAAGAGATGTTTCCCAGTTCCTTCTCCTTTAAAAACCCTTAAAGGAATTTCATGCAACCAGCTCGGATTTATTCCTATTAGTAAGAAGAATTCCCCTATGTAGTTCTTTACACTCAAAATCCAACCGCCCCTTATAAAATAACCGTTTGTCTGCATGTTTTTCTTCTCTTCCCTTTGAGCAGTTTATTATTCTTTTGAAGCCTAAACCTCTTGAGATCTTAGATTTCTTAGAACCTAACTGTAAATACTTGCCTCTCGGTAAGAGCCTGACTAATAATTGCTGAACAGGAAAGACGCTTTCGAGTAGCTCAGAACTCCCATTCGGAGGATGTACTAAAAGGAAGGACAGGATTGCCCATTGGAAACAATTGGGACATCATTAGATTCAAGTCCAACGAGAATCTTGTTGGCATTTAAAGATCTGAGCTTTTGAGAGTCAAAGCTCCTTTCATCAAACACTTTGACTATCAAAGCTCATACCCTGCAGTTCTACTGAAATCTAACTGATCTAGTAGAAAAGAGCAAGAGTCCAGTAGCACCTTAGACTGATAAAATTTGTGGCAGGGGGATGAGCTTTCGTGATCGTCACAACTTAAGAAGTTAAGTCTGAACTTAAGTTCTGAAGGACCACTGACTCACTTGGTATCTATCTGAAGAAGTGTGTGTGCACACGTAAGCTTATACCTTGAATAAAACTCTGTTAGTCTTAAATGTCCCACTGGACTCAAAACAAAGTTGGAGTCCAGTGGCACCTTTAAGACCAACAGAGTTTCATTCAAGGCTTCCATGTGCACGCACACTTCTTCAGATACGATGAAATGGAAGTTATCAGTCCATACATATAGGCAGGGGGTGGGCAGTAAATTAGCATACAGCATAAAGAAGATGTTTAACAGATTCAAGGACTCAACACCAACAGGAATAACAAATTTAGTTCATATGGTTACCATATGTTTGGGTTTAATTCTTGGGGTGGGGGGGAGGAACATAGTGAAGGAAATATATATGTCAAAGTTGGAGATAGATGGGCAGATGTAGTATCATTAATTGTGGAATGCTCGAAGGTATAAATATTGTTGGTGTCGTTTTATTTTTTAAAGAACTTTAATAACTATGTATTGTTTGTTTGGGAGTTTAAGGAGAAGATAATAAATAGTTTTTAAAGCAATCACTGGCAACAATGGGGGGAAAACTTTTCATTTAATAAGCAGACATTGCCAGTGACACTGTGTATAATATGATGTAATAGTATGTATAACGTTCCAAAATGTATGAGATTTTTGTTGCAAACATGTTACGTGGAAAATAATAAAATATTAATTAAAAAAAAATTGTGGAATGCTGAGAGTCATTAACTGAGACCCTGCCATCCATAAAATATTAATAAAATATTAATTCAAAAAAAATTGTGGAATGCTGAGAGTCATTAACTGAGACCCTGCCATCCATCTCCTGTCAAGCATGGAGACAACCTTACAACATCTTCTTCTTTGAAGTGAAGTCTTTAAGGTGCTCCTGGACTCTTGCTCTTTTCTGTTGCTACAGACAGACTAACCTCATCCCCTGCTGGTGGCCCAGGGGGGACCTGGCAACCCCAGAACTATTGACGCGTTCCATTTTCATCAGATTACTGGTCTGTGGCATTTGTGTCTCCCCTAAATGCGGAGGGAAATGTTTTTCTCTTTCAGGGGCCGCCCATGTCCTTTGAGGAAGTGGCCGTTTTCTTCACACAGGAAGAATGGGCCCTGCTGGATCTGGCCCAGAGAGCTCTCTACTGGGAAGTCATGGAAGAAAATTACGAGACTGCGGCCTCTCTGGGTAAGGATCTTTGTCCTTTTATCCATAACAATAAAAGACTCCATCCATCTCTGGAAGGCATAGCACATCAGAAAATAAAGGGTAGGGGCTCTGGCTCTGTGGTAGATCATCTGCTTTGCATGCACAAGGTCGCGGGACCGGTCCCTGGTATCACCTGTTGAAAGGATCATGCAGTAAGTGATGTGAAAGAACCTCTCCCTGAGAGCTGCTGCCTGTCTTAGTAGACAGTACTGACCTGACGGACCAAGAGTCTGGTTAAGGAGAAGGCAGCTTGATATGTTGATATGTTAAACATATACCTTGGAGCATCAGAATTTGCCTCTGGCTTCTGGATGATCATGGAAATGGCAGTGCCAAACGTGAAAGGAACTGAAATATCTTCCCACTCACGATGCCCAGAAAACCCCTACCCCCTCTGCATACTTGCTTTAAAAGTGATGATGGTCAGTGGGAGACATAATGCATCTGAAATAACAGCTAGGCATCTCGAAATTGTCCACTCGCTTTGGGATGATGGTGGGACCTGCAGTGCCATGATCTTGGTGTTTGGAGGGCCACAGTGGGAAGGCTTCTGTTCTGGCCCCGCTGGTGGACCTCCTGTCGGCACCTGGTATTTTTGGCCACTGTGTGACACAGAGTGTTGGGACTGGATGGGCCACTAGCCTGATCCAACATTGGTGTCTCTTATGTTCGTATCTCTCTGATAGACTAGAAGATCAGTGAGGTGAACTTTGGCTGCCTCCATCTTGAATCTCCTGATTCCTGACAGGACACCCCCACCCCCAGCTTTCATGGCCTTGATGGGACTTCCCAGTTCACGTCACTTAAAAGTCTACTTCCTCACTCTGCCATTTCTCCTTCTTCTGAACCGTTCTGTTGCTGTGTCTGTTTAGAGCTTGGTACTTAGTTTTTCCTCATTTTGGGACAAGTATTTTGTAGGTAGCTTAAATATTAGAAATAGCTTTGACTTCACAAACCAGGTGCAGGCGTATTCTGGGCACACAAACATTCATTGAATGACCTTCGTGTTGTCTTCTGTTCCCCTGGAAGGACTTTGGGTTCCTGGGCCATTCCTCAACTCTCAGCTACATCCAAGAGAAGGACAGTTCCTCCAGAGCTGTGAGGATTCAGAGAGGTGTCCAGGTGTCCTCTTGACAGGTAAGAAGGCTGGCAGAAGCATGACAATGAAGGAGCTGTTTTTAGAGGATTTTTTGGGATTTTTCTCTGGGAACTTTATATCATAGACCTCCAGGATCATCTAGTCCAGTCCCCCGCACAATGCAGGAAATTCACAACTACCTCCCACCCAGTGGGAGAGAGATTATATTTGAATAGTTGGTATAAGTAATTTTTAAAAAGTCAGCCTGCTCACTTTTTTTTTTAAACTAGCACCATTTTTGGCTTACGGGGTAAAATTTTTGCTCATGGGACTACACACCTTAGAGGGAACATTGTTCCCACCCCACCCCCAGTGATTGCTGTTCCACAGAAGATGGCAAAAAAACCCTCCGGGATCCCTAGCCAAATTTGCCTGGAGAAAAATGGCTTCCAGACCCCAAGTGGTGATCAGCATTCCCCTGGGTGTGTAAGAAAGGACCATGAGAACTAAGCACTGAGGCTACCTTTCCTGCCCTCCCTCTCATGATCTTCCCAAGTTCACACAATCAGCAATGCTGTCAGATGGCCATCTAGCCTCTGTTTGAAAACCTCCAAAGAAGGAGATCCCACCACCTCCCGAGGAAGCCTGTTCCACTGAGGCGCTGATCTGTCAGGAAATTCTTCCTAATGTTTAGCTGAAAACTCTTCTGATTTAGTTTCAACCCGTTGGTTCTGGTCTGACCTTCTGGAGCAACAGAAAACAACTCCGCACCATCCTCTATATGGCAGCCCTTCAAGTACTTGAAGGTGGTATATCACCTCTCAGTCGTCTCCTCTCCAGGCTAAACATACCCAACTCCTTCAGCCTTTCCTCATAGGACTTGGTCTCCAGACCCCTCACCGTCTTCGTTGCCCTCCTCTGGACATGTTCCAGCTTGTCTATATCCATCTTAAATTGTGGTGCCCAAAACTTAAAACAATACTCTAGGTGAGGTCTAACCAGAGCAGAGTAAAGCGATGCCATCACTTTGCGTGGTCTGGACACTACACTTCTGTGGATACAGCCCAAAATCGCACCTTTTTAGCTACCGCATCACAGTATGTGCAGAACAGAATTGGTCATAGGTGCTTTGTTCCCCCGACTTTTTTTCCTTTTTTCAATTTACAACACAACAACAAAACATAAACTAGAAACTACAACAATCCTTTAAATGATACATAAAACATAGATAGATCAGCCCATATAGCCATCTACACTGATCAGCTACCTTCATCTATTATATCCAAATCATAACTTAAACGTAAACAACAATCATATCTTAAACATAAACTTTTGTTGCTGTTGTTCAGTCGCACAGTTGAGTCCGACTCATCGCGACCCCATGGACCAGATCACGCCAGGCCCTCCTGTCTTCCGCCGTCCTCTGAAGTTGGCTCAATTTCATGTTCGTTGCATCTATGAC